TTTCTCCCCCTTCATTTTTCCCTTCCTACTATCTTCTTCTTCTTTTTTTTTTTTTAACATATAATGTATTATTTGTTTCAGAGGTACAGGTCTGTGATTCAACAGTCTTACACAAGGAATTACTTTTTTTAAAGGCATGAATCCATAAGGAGAAAATAGGATAGTACATTGGAAATACTAAGAAAAATGTGGAAGTTAGAAAGTAGGTGAACAAGTGGAAACAGACTAAGCAGGGCAGAAAAATAAATAAACCGAAGTCTGCAGTAGGGAAGCCTTAAGGCAGGCTAATCCATGCCCCAGAGCACCAGAATAGTGCAGAAATTGGAAGCACCAGAATTGTATGAAGGTGGTTCTGAAATAGCAGGATTTGCTGACATTCTTGTAAGTAGCAGTGAGATGTACAGAGTCCCTTCCCCACACCTCACAGCCCAGTGGTTCCTTCTCTCACAGCCTATCAGAAAGGTTATGACTTAAAAGGGCAGTCTGGGAAAGCGGCTATCACTGCAGGACTTAAGGAGAAAGTACTTTGAATGGAAGGATGGTAGAAAATTGAGATATCTGTGGGTAGGAGTGAGTGATAAGGAGCTCCTTCAAGGGGGATAGTGAATAGCTGATGAAGCAAGATTTTCAAAGGGATGAAATTCAGGGAAAGGGGACTGACTGGTCTTCTGTGGGAGAGATTTCTTTTCATATGTGAAGAGAGCACAGATTAATTGAAGGTATTTGGAAAGGCACACTGGGAGATATTGCGACAAGGATGACACAAAAGGTTTGGGAAGAGCCACATAGATTTGAAACAGTGTTATAGGGAATCATAATAAAAACACCCTTTCTCCCTCTCACTTTTCTACTATATATTATTATCTTAAAGAATGATACTGTACATAATATGGGTCACAAATTTAACCCCAAATTATGTGATTTTAAAAAATTAGTTGCTAATATTTTTAAATTTAGCAATTTTTATTTAAAAAAGTAATCCTATTTAAGAGCTCCTTCTTGGAAGATTGTATGATGCTATAATAGTGCACATGTATTGCTGAGTGTAGCCAAGTGCGGGGAACTTTCTTTAGATGGGGTAGTCATTCCATAGCCCCTTTCACTGATTTCTGTTACCTTCCTAACCTGGTAGTCATTTGAGTTTAACATCCCTAATAAAGTAACTGTCTCTTGAGTATCAAGAAATCGAGGTGTGGTTACTATCTATATTTTTCAGAAAAGGAGTGTAAGCCATCATGGGAACCTCAACCCAATCTATAGATTGAGAGTTTCAGAAGAAGTGAAGTGCCACTTCAAAAATCACTCCTAGTTGGCTGAATCCCTCTGGTAAGTGTTCCTGTACCTTCCAGGACCATCCAGATCCATCCTCATAAACTCATCTGGCAAGGTAAAACCAATGTCATTCAGGGGTCTCCTTTGGTATCTGCCAAAGACCAAATCGTCCTGAGATGAGTGGCCTGCTCAGATTTGTTTATCTATTGTACTTTATTGAATTCAAGTTTCTGACATATAATTTGATGTGGCATTGACTATGAAATACAAATCCAAGCAGGAACCTTACTTCTTTTATTTGTATAATAGTTAATATAGGAGTATCAGTTGGTGCTCATCTTATTTCAAGGAACAATTCTTAAATGTGACTCGTTAATAATTTATAATTCATTTCCATCTAACTGTCCACTGAAAATCAATACTCTGAGAATCATTAAGTATGTTGTATGATCACAAGAAAAAAGTCAATTAGGAAGAGCTCTAGACATATTCTTGAAAATATTTAACTAGTAAAATCATTTCACTCAAATGTGATTAAGAGCTGTTAGTTTAGGACTAAGATACGACTATTAAAGAGTCTGCACCAGGATAACAACTCCTAAGAAATGGCTTCTAGTTAATTAGAAGGAATTTTTCCTAACATCTAGCTATCTTGGTCTCTTTCATGCAATTTCTGGCATATGGACTTCAATTTTGGGGGGTTATTTTATTTCTAATGAAATTACTTCAGTTCTAGGAGGAAGCTCGTAGGGTTTGGTTTGCTTGTGTAGTTTCTCTTCTCTCCTCTTCATAATTTCTCTGAAGTGATTTCTTTCCTCTAGCTCTTTGTCTTTACGTTCTTGAGCCTCACATATTGCATCTTCTCTCTGTCGAATCTTTAGCTCTTCCTGCCACTGTCACAGAGAGAAAGTGTCATTTACATATGATTTTCCATGAAAAAATGAAAAAATATATCAGTTTAGCTTCTCAAAATGCAGATTCTATATCCAATTATCTTCTCAGTTTTTCTCACAGATATTCTTGAGGAATTTAAACCCACCCATAACTGGAAAAATATATAAGCCCTCTATTAGAAAGTATACAAGTCTCCCTCCCTCCCCCCCCAAAAAAGAAAGAAAAAGAAACCAGTAGTCCCTCTTAATGTTTCTAATAATAATAAACCATTCAAAGGAAGAGATAATAGGGTTTACATTTTTATATTACAAAGGAATTTCAATTCTTAATCAGTATTGGTATTTACATGATAGCATGGAATCATAAAATAAAAAATCAAGCCAAAGTAAAACATAAAGAAAACCCAAATTAAAGTGAAAGGCAAAATTGTGATACTATTACATATGAAGTAGAAAATGAAACTGATGGGCAGACAAATGCTGATTCTGCAATAGACAAATACAGAGACTTCTAAGGGATTCACCTCAGTCGAGCATGTTAATTAATGACAATAACAGCATTATGTGGAGGCAAAAGTTCTAGGACTCAGTAGTTGGAAGTAAGGACCACAAATCAACCAAACATCATCTTGAGGACCCTACTTCCCTTCTACTATCTTTAATGAAGGAAGTGGTGAAAGATGTGGTAATCTGTCTTCAAGCCAGGTAAAAAAGTTCAGGATAGAATGGCCCTTGGCATGAAATGTTGGAAACTCCAAAAGACACTTCATACCCTTGCTTATTTCTTATTTTGTTACCCTCAGCCCATCCATACTCACAGACAACCAGACTATGCTTAATGACCTATCAATTAACTTATAAATTACTGTATACTAGTGCTCTGGATTATAACTATCATTTGGGGTATATAGATATTAATAAGCAGGACTAAACACAGAATTTACAACAAATCTCTCAGCCTTCCAAAGGCAATAAGTTTTTTTAAACATACTCAGAGTAAGTATTAAAAAAGTTTTATAAAATCATATTCACTTTTCTTCCAGTTAAATTTTAAATACAAAGTTACCTTGATAATTATACCCATCTGTGACAAAATTTTTATCATATAACTAAATAATAATACTGTTTGACAAAACTACTGATTTTATGTTGTAGCATAAAAGTGGTAGTTGGTGTAATAATGACAGTATCTATAAACAAAGACAACTAATCTACCTTATTTGAGAGATTTCAGTATACTTCATGACCTTGATCTTTACATTGTGAAAAATCAAGAGGATTAATTCTTAAGAATTTAAACACATTCTATATGCCATTTAGTCCATACTATATTCTAAGAAAAACAGAAAATAAATACTTTCTCTCCTATTCCAACTCTACTCCTAAAAAATAAGCCGTTATAAAATGATTTCATAAGAAATCATCAACTAAATATAGCTCAATGGATTAAAGTGCCTTAAGTGAATGGCCTTGTATGGCCACTGCTTGTTTAACTCATATCAAGAATAAAGTGATTAGATTCCTTCTAATATTTCAAGGGTAAAGAATGGTCATCGAAAATTGAGTCAAAAGATTTTTGTTCCATTTTTAAAACTACACTATAGAAGAATCCACTGTTCAGTGTTCAATATCAGATCTTGGTCACAAGAAATCAGTACTAATTCAGGAAACAGGATAAAGCTAGTATTTCAGAAATTACAGAAAGCCAAATTTCCTGTAACCCAGTAAAGGCACTGAAGTATACAGATAGCACAGTAAGATATAATTAAGTTTGGCAAAGCCCAATCGTGGCTTTATTTTTAAGTTCCACGTGTTAATGTTTCAGCCTCACACTACACTTTCTAATTCAAAGTGCGTTTAAAGAACAAAGCTTTTGCTGCTAATTTAAGGAAGTCAGTCTTACATGATGGTCAATGATTCTTGCCAACTCTTCATCAGCCTTGGTGAAGAAATCTGGGTAAGAAGACAGGGGAAGTTCTGATACAGAAGGATGTTCCCTTCAAAAGAGCACAAAAACAGATCCCGTATTAGGTATAGATATTCCTTCTCCCAGGAATATATGGATTTGCAAGTCATTTCATACTAAGCATTTTGATTCTACCTTGTTAACATTAAGTACTTATTCTTTGTAGACTATTATATATAGCTTTTAGTTTCTGTAAGCCATTTTGGGATACCTAAACTGATATTTTGAAGGGTAGGGAATGACATATAGTATGAGAACTAGAAAATAATAAAAAACTAATCTTCTTCTAGGAGGTATAAATACTACAGCTGGTCAGTAACACAGGAGATATTAGGAAATGAAGGGTTTAGGGAAGCCTGAAATAATTTGACTCAATGGGGAGATGAAAGTAACCATAGTCTTACACAACTCCATGACCCTGGAAGTTCTGGTGAAAGTCTAAGCCTAAGAATTGATCTAAGATATACTTAAAAAAAAAAAAAAGTTTGATTTCAGTACTTCTCCAAGGTCTTTGTAGTACAAAGGGTAAAACTATGGCAGACAGTTTAGCAACAGTTCAATAGAAGTGTTGGCAGTGCAAATCTAGGCCCTAAAGTAGTGGAGATTTAGTGTTAAAAGCTGTCCACTTAATAGGTGTATTATGTTAAAATTATGAAGAAATGATTGTGAGTCCAGAAATATGTAGAGCAACAAAATGGTGGTAGAGAATATGGTTTTAAAGGAAAGAAAGTGGGCGAAAAGGAAAAGCCCTTAGGCAGGAAGCTAAGAAGAGATAGCTCATGAAAATTTCCCATATTTAAGACTGCGGTGTTGTACATGTATTTTTTTTTTTGCAATTTGCTGCCTATACCATTTTAGCGAGCTTTATATTTTTGACATCCTATGCTTCCCTCATATCACCAGGTTCTCTTGCTTTATGCTTCTCAAATCTTTCCATTTATCTTCATCTCCACCATCATTTCCCTACTCTAAGCCATCATCCTTTCATCTGGACCCACACTTCCTTTTGGGAATCCCTGCATCTACCATGCCCCACCCTTTTAGTTCTTGTCTGTATACAGTAGCCAGAATTTTTTTTTTTTTTTCAAAATACAAAGGGTAACATGTCAATCCCCTACTTTGAACTGTCCAATAACTCCCAATTAACTTTAGAATTAAAATCCCATTTGTTGTTAAAGAAGCCTGATGTAGACTGTGCAGTTGGTAAAGTGGCTTTGCATGTTTTCTCCAGTCTCACTCCTCTCCCTTCTTGGCCTAGGTTTATGCATCCCTAGCAATGGGCTTTTTTGTAGTTGCTGCAGTGTACCTTGCTCCACCCTACTATGGTTTGTTTGCATGCACTGCCATCCTTTCTTCAGTGCCCTTCTCCCCCAACTCTCTCTGCCACAGGGCTGGCTAATGCGTACTTATCCTTCTGCTCTCTGTTCAAGGCCCACTGCCATAGCTCTCAATCTTCCATGGGCCTTTCCTTCATTGTACTTACCTCAGTTGTAATTTTATATTCATCTGTGCATCTGTGGGAGTTTTGTTTTTCTCACTTGAGTATGAGCTACATGAATGTGGGGACTTTCACTTGTTTGGTTATAATTGGTCTCCCCAGTGCCCAGCACAGTGCCACTAGACACTCAATGAATGCTTGTATGTTTGGTGAATCATTGAATGAATAAATGAAAGCTGTGATATTCTTTAATCCCCTTTACATTCCAGGCAATCAGTAGGAGTCTACCAGACAGCACTTTCATGTCAGTAGAACAGTGTCCAGGACAGCAAGAAGATGGCAGTGTCAGGAGACAAGTCACAAAATGAAGCTAACAGCTGGAGTTCAAAGGAAAACAACTCAAGTGGTAGGTGAGCAGGGAACATATATGGACCCCTCTCCCAACTCCTAAGATTCAGAAGCATTGTGGGGCAGAAGAGCAATGGGCTTCCCATTGCATATACAATAGGAGCCTGCACCATTCTATTAAAATATTAAAGGAAAATACAATCCTAGAATGCTCGGAAATTGGGTGACAACTGGGGGCTGATACTTGGGTTAACTATATTCATTCAGGAAAATTTGGGTACTTCTGACATTCAAAGAATTGTGCTAAATGCTGTGAAAAGATAAATAAGGGGTGTCTGGGTGGCTCAGTTGGTTAAGTGTCTGCCTTCGGCTCAGGTGATGATCTCAGGGTCCTGGGATTGATTCCCCGCATCAGGCTCCCTGGTCAGTGGGGAGTCTGCTTCTCCCTCTCCACCCCCCTTCCCATGCTCTCTCGCACTCTATCTCAAAAAATGAAATCTTTTTTAAAAAAAGATAAATAAGACAGAACTTTTAAATTATTTAAAGGCTAAAAGTATTCACACAAGTTGCCTCAACTCCTTCCTGAATTATAAAAGTTGAAAGAAATGCACCACAATATAAATAATATTAGAAATCCTTTAAAATGGGAAGATTAAATGGATATGCTTGTGCATCTGTGATTTTTAGTTATCTCTGTTGAATGTTAGTACTAAAAAAGAAAAATGTGTAGTTATTTATAATAGAAGGCAACATGAGACACGCAGTGATATTAAACAGAAAAATATAGTAAAATCGTTAAGCACATGGGCTCTGTCGTCAGATCTCAAAGCAAATTTTCATTCTGCCACTTAGTACTATTTAATCCCTCTGTTCCTCAATGTCTTCATTTTTAATATAAAAATAATAGTACCTGCCTTGTTATGTTTGCATGAAGATTAAAAAGCATAAGGCATAAAGCTTGTTTGATGGAACAAATACTAAACAAGTTTCAGCTGTATTATCCTTATCAGCAGCATTATCAAAAGAATGTAGAGGAGGAAGTCATGGCTTTTGGCTGGTACTTAAAAAAGAAGAAAAAAATAAGAGAAAAGAAAAAAGGAATAGAGGACAAAACAAGTCATTAGTGAGATGTACAATTATGATGTTTGGAGTTAAATGAGAACTGGAGAGAAACGTGTCAGAAAGTTGTTAGGTAACAATCCTAGGTTTGCCATAACAAATTACCACAAATTGATAGGCTTAAAAAAATCCATTCTCTCACAGTTCTTGAATCCAAAAGGCCTAAATCAAGGTGTTGGCCGGATTGGTTCCTCTGGAAGCTCTGGGGACATTCTGTGCCTCTTTTAGCCTCTGATAGCTGTCAAATCCTTAGTATTCCTTGGATTATGGACACAACACTCCCATATTTCTCTGTCTTCACATGGCCTTATCCTTCCGTCTCAGTATGTCTTTTCTATCTTTCTCTTGTAAGAACACAAGGTCACTGTCATTGGATTTAAGTCCCAAATGAGCAAGAGGGCCTTAACTATCCCTTAACCTTGACTAAACTTTAGACAGGCTTCTTCCTGACCCTAGGCCCCTGGCCATCTCTTTAAAATGCAATCAATCAAGAAAGACAGTGCCCCTATCTTCTAGTCGCTGTGGTAGAGTAGGAGCCTAAGTTAGAAAGTGACAGAGAGCAAGCACAGATGACCCCTTCACATTGACCACCCTCTCCTCTAACATCCTCTGGTACTTTTCCACTACCTTACCTCAGCACTTAAAAATCCTCCTGTCTTTTGTTTCAAGGGAGTTGAATTCAATCTCTCTCCTCTATTGCAAGACTTGAATAAAGTCTTCTTCAATTTCCAGTGCAATTTTTCTTTAACACCCTATTTCAAGATGATCTTTTTTATTATTATTAAGTTTTTATTTAAATTCTAGTTAGTTAACATATAGTGTAATATTGGTTTCAGGAGTAGATTTAGTGATGCATCACCAAAATACAACACCCACTGCTTATCACAAGAAGTGCCCTCCTTAATACCCATCACCCATTTAGCCCAACCCCACCCACCTCCCCTCCATCGATCCTCAGTGTCTTCTCTATAGTTAACAGTCTCTTATGGTTTGCTCCCCTCTCTTTATTTTTTTCCCCTTCCCCTATGTTCATATGTTTTGTTTCTTAAATTCCACATATGAATGAAATCATATGGTACTTGTCTTTCTCTGATTGACTTATCTCACCTAGCGTAATACATTCTAGCTCCATCTATGTCCTTGCAAATGGTAAGATTTCATTCTTTTTAATGGCTGAGTAATAGTCCATTATATATTATATATTGGATATATATATATCTCCATCCCACATCATCTTTATGCATTCATCAGTTGATGGACATTTGGGCTCTTTCTATAATTTGGCTATTGTTGTTAATGCTGCTTGTAAACATTGGGCTGCATGTGCCCCTTTGAATCACCATGTTTATATTCTTTGGGTAAGTACCTAGGAGTAAAATTGCTAGGTTGTAGGGTAGTTCTATTTTTAACTTTTTGAGGAACATCCATACTATTTTCCAGAGTGCCTGCACCAGTTTGCAGTCCCACCAACAGTATGAGGGTTCCTATTTCTCCACATCCTCCCCAACATCTGTTGTTTCCTGTGTTGTTACTTTTAGTCATTCTGACAGGTGTAAGGTAGTATCTCATTGTGGTTTTGATTTGTATTTCCCTGATGATGAGTGATGTTGAGCATCTTTTCATGTGTATGTTGGCCATCTGGAAGTCTTTTTTGGAAAAATGTCTATTTCTGTCTTCAGCCCATTTTTCAACAGGATTACTTGTTCTTTGAGTGTTGAATTTGGTAAGTACTTTATAGATTTTGGATACTAACCCTCTATCAAATATGTCATTTGCAAATATCTTCTCCCATTCTGCAGGTTGCCTATTAGTTTTGTTAATTGTTTCCTTTGCTGTGCAGAAGCTTTTAATCTTAATGAAGTCCCAGTAGTTCGTTTTTGCTTTTGTTTCCCTTGCCTCAGGAGACATGTCTACAAAGAAGTTGGTATGACTAACGTCAAAGAGGTTGCTGCCTGCGTTCCCCTCTAGGACTTTGATGGTTTCCTGTCTCACATTTAGGTATTTCTTTTTTTTTTTTTAAGATTTTATTTATTTATTTGAGAGAGAGAATGAGATAGATAGAGCACGAGAGGGGGGAGTCAGAGGGAGGAGCAGACTCCCCGCTGAGCAGGGAGCCCGATGTGGTA